CATGCATAGCGGACACTGATGGATCGATCATCAAGTGAGGGCATGGCATTATGTCTAACTCCATTTGGTGCTGTGCACTGCACACGCGGTGGGGCTCACTTCCTCTTTCGGAACAGCTTCTCGGCAGTGGCGAGATCTGCCGTGAGATTAATCACGATGCTCTTAGGACACCGCACGACATATATCGAGTGCTGGCAAGTTTTCGCTCTCGTTTCGTCCGATTCCCCAGCCCCGCCTTCGAGCACTCTCAGGCACTCCCCATGTTTAGCGAAAGCCCGGAATACATCAAGAGGCGGAACACGCCGTTCTCGCCGCCCACCGTAAGCTGCAGCCCTGTTTCCGCTACGACTGGCAGCTCATTTGGAGAGGACAGATTACGTGGAAAGAACTGCGCGCGGTAATTCCCCCCGAGCTGTTCCGTAAGTCGACATTCCGCGGGATGGTCAGTTTCGTCAAGGACGTCGCTTCCGTCGTCATCCTCTTCGCCCTCGGCCAACGGATCGACGTGTTCGCCGCGGAAGTCGCCGCGGCGCGCGAGCTCACGCCTGGCGTCGCGTCGGTGCTCAAGTGGTCGCTGTGGTCCGCGTACTGGTACGCGCAGAGCATCGCCATGGCTGGATGCTGGTGTCTCGGTTCGTGATATCCCCCTCCGCTACTTCCTCCGTGCTGCGCCGCTGACCGTTGCCGTGATCGTGATCAGGACACGAGGCCGGGCACCAGAACGTCTCGCCCTACGGCGTCGTCAACGATACCGTTGGATTCATTCTCCACACCGCGCTCCTGACACCGTACTTTGCCTGGAAGCGGTCCCACCACACGCACCACGTGAGTCGCCCGCCGCACATGGGGATACTAGCCGCCGCACGTGATGGCTGATGCGTTTTTGGTTAGAAAACTGTGGGCTCGATCGAGCGCGATGAGAACTATGTGCCTCGCACGAAATCGGAGCTCGGTATCACGACGAAGGAGCAGCTGCATGAGATGTTCGAGGAGACGCCGCTATACACGTTGGTCCGCATGCTCGTCATGCAGCTCCTCGGATTCCAGGTCTACCTCCTCTTCAACACCCTCGGGTCGCCTCATGACCCCGCTGGCACCAACGTGAGTCTCGCAGCGTCTTTTTGCGTGCTACTATTGACGAATTCGACAGCACTTTTCGCCATACTCTGTGCTGTTCAAGCCTGAAGATTTCTGGAACATCGTCCTCTCCGACGCCGGGCTCGTCGTCACCTCGTCGATTCTCATCAGATACGGGATGCAAGTCGGCGCTGCCAATGTTTTCAAGCAGTACATTTTCCCGTACCTGGTTCGTCTCACTACAATTCAGGAGCTCCCGAGTGTTCTGATCGTCCGCTCTAGCTCTGCCACCACTGGATCGTGATGTTGACTTACCTGCACCACTCCGACCCGACCCTGCCTCACTACCGCAAGGGACAGTGGACCTTCCTGCGAGGATGTCTCGCCACCGTCGATCGTCCGCTGCTAGGATACATCGGCCGACTGTATTTCCACAACGTAGGTGTTCGTTGTGCGTTTCTGGCTTCAAAGTTTGACCCTTTCAACAGGTCTCGCACGACCACATTGGTCACCACCTGTTCACTTCCATTCCCTACTGTATGTCGATATTCAGACGCAGAGATCCGTGTACTGACCGGCTCTCGTCTAGACAACCAACCTGAGGTAACCAAGCGCATCAAGGCTGTGCTCGGGGAGCACTACAACGGCGATAACACGGTGCGTCCAAAAATACTACTGAATTGTGCATATTCGTTGCTGACATTTCCATCCACACAGAATACGTTCTACGCGCTCTACCGCTCGTTCACCACTTGCTGCTATATCGAGGACGAGGGCGATGTCGTGATGTACAGCAACGGGAAGGGCGAGACGATGCGCGAGGTCGTCCAGGATCCGGGCAACCGCCGCGAGAACGACGCGATCCCGGACATGCTCACTTCGCTGCACACTGCTGGTTGATCAGAGCGCGCCTGGAGCTCGGCGGGGATAGCATGGCTTTGGCTTCGTGTATGTAAATAACGCGTCCGGATTCAGAACTTGTGTAAGTAGCATCGTTAACTGTAGTTGTGTTGTGGTTTCTTTTCAATACATGCTTCAATCATTTTTGCTCGGTCATTGAAATACTTGGTCTGAAGCTCACTGTGTCGACTCTGAAACGATTTTCGTGCTCCAATACCCTTGATTAGATGGCTTGGACTTGGATTGGCAGACTTAAATTGTAATCAATACCATCGATGCATCAGTTTAGACGCTTGACAGGTCCACTTAGTTGACTTGGCCTCACGACGATTCATTGATAAGAGTCTTGCAGTGATAATCTCGCTGTCTCCGTGACGCCCGCTCGACACACGTTGTGTGCCATAAACGAGACGCCGCCGCGAGGAACGTCGAAAGACATTGGCGCAACAGTCTAAATGTCAAAAATCTAAAAAACAATGATGGACGGACGCACTGCGCTGTCGCTGCCGACCTGAGTTGAGATCGATTGCTGGGCGAGAGTGTGGTCGCACATAGCATATCATAGATGGCCGAAGCGATCGTCAGCAGCGCGATGGGCTGCTTCCATCGGCCAGTGAGAAGGCTGCTAGCGGGCTACGCGAAAGAAAACACAATGAACCACAAAGGTTCCGGGATCGCCGCAGGTAGCGATCCTGCGAACGAACGCAGAATGGTGCGGAAATAAGATAACTGAGACAAGGCATGCGTGGTCGCCTCCGGGATCGTTAGGAACTGGAAGCCGGTAGTGAATATCAATCCGGAGTCCGCAACGCGGTGGTAGAAGCTGGTCAGAGAACCGGCTGTATTCGACATTCATCGATTCACCACAATACCGGACTAGGGTTCTCCTCGTCTTGGAATCGACTCCCTGCGTCTGATGGAAGAGATGCGAGGATATCTTGATTGAATACTGGCATGGGACTCATGGTGTGATTGCGCAGCGCTCACGAGAATTACGCGGAGAGTACACATCAATCATCGCCGTGTGCAGCGACAGGGGAGAATTCACCCCGGATGGCATCACAAGCCCACCAGAAGCCATGTGTTATGCATCAGCATTAGTTTAGGCTGCTCCGAGGCTCACGGTGATGAGGGGGCGTCAAGCGAACTCCAGCATGATGCGGTTCCGTAAGTCGGATCAGATGCCGTGCGAGTATACTTAGTTCATGTTTGCGAGACGCGGGAGCTGAACTCATGACTTCATTCATTCAGAAAGCGAAGATGGAGTGAGGAGACAGCACAAGGACAGCCCGGGAGATCTCTTCTGCCTCCGTCATACGCGTGAAACCAGCTGAGAGAGAGAACTGCAGTCAGATGGCATTCTCCTCTCTATCGCCGGTCAATACGTAGCTGACCTCTCCGAACTTCACCTTCTGTACTTCCACCTTCCAGGTTCCAAATACCAGCCAAGGCAGCGCCCGAATTTTTTGCTCCTCTCTATCTCCGGATAGCGAAACCTCAGATGACAGAGTGAATGCTGGATCCTCCACTTCTGTGCCCTTGGACAGGTGCTATCGATTCAGGTGTAAAGCTTGCGAAGTAACCCCGTGAGAAAGGAAAGCATGACGATCATCGCTGACGAGCTCGTCATTGGCTGCAGAGCATGCAACTTCCTGCGCTGAGCACGTAGGAGTGTGCCGCACTGCTGGTCAAGCCACACCCTCGAACTGTAAAGCGCTCGAACAAGCGCCACCCGGCGGACCTTTCTCCTGGCCGCCGTGCTCAGTCAGCGTTGTACGATTCGCGCCTCGGCCCAGCTCAGCGTGGCACGGGACATGATGTGGCTGCGCTCACTGATCCTGGCGTAAACGATAAGCTCATTAGGGAAACCGAGTGGGCCATTCCATCGTCCATCCCCTCTCCAATATTCTTCCGCGATTCGAAAATGCTACTGGTTCCAGGACCCGATTGAGGACTCTGCGGGTACTTTGAGACCGTGCGAGACTGGATTCATGTGGACACTTCGGTCCGAAGAAGTCTGTTCCAAATGCATGTTCTCAGCAGGGAAGGAACGAGTGAAGGGGCCTGGCCTGACCTTCCAGCGCCCAGATGTTCATCATGCATGTTGCCACGAAGTCTGAGGGCGGGAGACGAGAAGCAGCAGAAGTAAGAGAAGAGGGGACAGGATCAGCGTGAGGACGGGGAACATGAACTGCTGAGAGTGTCATGTGCACCGACATTCGAGTTCTACCGCCGACAATGATTCCGTCGGGCATAGCATGTACCTGTGCGTGCATCCGATGTGCGTGACCGGTTGAATCCAACCGGTCACGGCGTGCAGCACTTGAGCGCAGCAGGCTTCTTTGGTGAATCCGGCTGCGGCTTTTGCTCCACCGTTGAGGTCACCGGTGGCCAGTCTCAAACTCACCCGCAGACTTCTCCGGTGAGCCGTCGCATATCAAGAAAACGGCCCCGTTGGCGCTTACAGTATCTGCTATAGTTTCGGCGGAGGCAGAAAGCTTCCAGGAATTGATATCGAAGTCGTGCTTATCACAGAGATTGCTCGATTTATCGGTTTTGACGTGAAATGTATAGAAGCCGTGGAGGACGGAACTCCAATTCTGGCCCTCCGGAGATTTGTTGGAGCGAGGTCGGAAGGATCCGGTCGACTCCAACTGTCTGGTCCCGAAATCCAAGTGTGGAAGCTTTGGTGAGCATACGCCAAACGTGCGTAGACTGCAGTGTGAGGTGGATGGACCAAGATTGTCACTGTGACACCTGTCATGTCACGAGTGTGCGTAGATTTGTCACAGGATGTACTGATTGCGAGTAATTTGTATTCTAATTACTTTGAAGAAGTGGACTGCGCGGGCCTCCGTCCGGAATTCTTTTTTTAGAACCAAGCTCCAAGGAAGCATCAACGCAACTAAGCCTAGACTTTGGCTGAATCATGGCGGGGCTCCGCAGCTGCGTGACGGCCCCCCTCAACTTTGTGACGCGCGAAGGCTCTGTCACCCGATCATTCGGTCCTTGCGCAGTGCCATCAACTTGCGTCTCAGAGCGCAGCATATTCATGGCTGCTCTTGCCTCCTTCCACTGCTAGCATGCTCGCCGTCGTACATCGAATCCCTATTTCATTCCGTCTTCAACATTGTGTCTCAGGTGGACCCGCGGAAACTCGAGCATCTGAGACATGACCGATGGTCAGAACCCAGAGACATCCGCGGGCACGCCCGCACATCCCTTGCTCACCACCACGATCATTTCTGCGCCATGTCAGCCTCTTTTGATGCGCAAGCTTTCGTGCGATACTCGTTGGGGGGCCGGGTGAGGCTGTCGTCGCTGGTCTCTGCGCTCGCAGGCTCGCTGACCTGAGGCTCGCAGGACCTGTCGACAAACCTGTGTCTCATACTACAAGGCGTGTTGCTGGGGCAGTTCGCCCGGTACATCTCGAATGGATTCCACCGCTCCGATCCGACCATAATGCGGGTGTGGCTGGTGGGGCTGCTGTTTCTCACGCTGGGGAAGAACCTGTCCGACTTGTGCGTTCACGTGTTTTGCAGAGGACATGGCTGACAATATCGCCTGTATATGTTATACATAGGTATGTCACGCACCGTCAGAACACGACACGGTTCCTCGATGCATCCGGCGTGCTCATGGACTATATCTCCCTCAAAGGCCAAGCGAGCTACTTGGTGAACGTCGTTCTTGTGTTTTACGTCCAGATCTTCTTCTGTTGGCGGCTTTGGGTGCGTCTTGCTCTTTGTTGCTTGTCAGATAATGCTCACATGGCCAAGACACTTTGCAGAAGAATCTGGCTGCCATCGCTGATTGCTCTGTCATTCGTCGGGGCTGCTATCGCAGGAATCCTCTCTGTTCCCGCGACACATGCGAAATATGTGCTCCGATGGTGTGCGTGTGCCAATCCGCCTCTCCAATGCTATAACTCGTTCCTGACGATCTCTCAGCCGCAGCATGTTATATCATCTATTTCGCGGGCGATCTGATCCTCTGCGCATCAATGATGTACCATCTCCTCATAAGCGTCGGTTTGCTAGCTATGTTTCGCAGCTCACGCTTACCCGCCACCAGACTGATGCCAGGTCAAGCCAACTCTTCCGCGACACAGCAAACGTTCTTGCCCGGATCGCCCGAATCACGATCCAATCCGCACTCCCGGCGGTCATCTGCGCGCTGGTCGATCTCATCGCGTCGCAGATAAATCAGAACTACTACGCCCTCGACGTCGCGACGACGCTGACGATTATCACGACGCACGTGCTCCCGATGTGTTACGCACTGTCGTCGCTTTGGACGTTAAATTCGAGGATGGGCTGGAGACGGGCGGGGGAAACAAGGGACGCAGCGAGTTCCAGAGGATGTTCAGTCGAAGCGCCGTAATTGATGACGGGCGGCTCGCTCGAGTCTACGTGGATTGTACGTCCGCGAGGTGCTGCGTGGGAAAAAGGAAAGGGCTGGTTAATGATTGGCGTGCGCGATGTTCGTTTTATGGCAGAATGCTGAGATTCCTTGCGTGAGGTTGCTCTCAACAAGCTGTGCCGAGGAAAAAGTGCAATGGCCTCGACCGCGAAATGAACGCGGGACCACTTCCACCCTCACACTCAGACGCCCTAAGGAAGTATCATACGACTAGGCCATTAAGGCAGCGGAGCCGTTGCTCCCCGAATCACCCTGCACTCTCAAAGATGAAACATTTCCTTCGTACTCTCACAGATGAAATATTTCCTTCGTAATGTACGAAAGCCTCATCCGGTCCGGTAAGCATCCAGGAGATTATGAAATTGAGGTCTCCAAACACTCGAATGACCGCATGACTCGGCAAACTTTCCAGCTTTCAAAGCATTTGCAAGACGATCAGTTTGAGACTCAGAGTTCCCGTGTCTTCCCAGACATGTTCCTATCCTTTTCATACGCAGGGCCGTTCGGCATCAGCCCTGAGCACTGATGGATTTTCCTTCTATGGTGTACCAAAAATTCAAGACTAGAAGCGCCACGGGGGATTGAGTCCAAAAGTTCACGATAATCAGATAAAATTCGGTCAATCAAGAACTCGGCACGATTCCACAGTGGTTTTCAACATCCCTTACATGACTTCACGCATTATACGATAGCTCACAGAGCATTGCTTTCTTTTCGCCACCGGTCGTGCCAGGCCGCCCCCATTCATTCCCGAAAGGACCTCGGTAGCAGGTTTGGGGGAGTTCATTCAGAATTTTGTTCCGGTGGACTCGCATGCCTTGGAACCCCACGGCTCCAGCAGTCTGTTGTTGCCTGCCTAACTCATTCCAAATTCAGTGACAACCGTTTAGCGAATGACACGGTCAGCTATCTGAGTCACTAAATACATCCATGCATGGACTTGATAGCTGAAAAATGTGAGTATTCCAATGAAGTATAATAACTCAGTGACTTTACGTTTCCTTCTGAGCCTGATGTTACGCCTGCTTACCTTGCCGGCAAGTCCATCTTACGATCCGGCAGGGGTTGGAATGTAACCCGAGATGAGGACAATCCCCGCGAGATGCTTTGCTGAGGCAGTTCATCCCACGGCAATCAAATACTTCCCCGTCGCTCAAAAGACCATTCTACCAGCCTCCTAGGTGACATTTTTCCGAACCTTGAACGGATCGGGGGTTTCGCGTGATCACGGGAGAAGCTCACGTGATATAGACACACATCATCAACAGACTGCCCGTGCTCTAAGCACTGCTGTCCTCTTCGCCGCCCTCGTGGTAGGCCCGTCCATTCTCGACAGCTCTTCAACAGGAGACATGGAGAAGGGGTCCATTCTGAGTGTCGGTTGTGCCCTGGTTCCAGTGCCGTTGCTTTCCATCCGAGTGTCTACGATCGGTCTCGACCTCCAGCGACAGCGACAACGACGATCGAAATGGCGACGTATCTCCGCCACGTCTGCGCAACACCGAATGAAACGTCGGTCCCGGGGGCCAAGAAGTCCTCCCGGGTTTTGATTCTTTTTCGATCCGCCTGTACTGTGGGGGTCGTGCTCGATCAAGTGCGGATGACCTAGCTCCTCCTGTCTCGCGTGCGCCGACGGCATCTCCTATCTAGTCCATCTCTCTTCCTCCCCCTCCCTTTTCTCTTGATTACCCATCCCCTTCGCCAGGCTTCTCGCCACCTTTCCCCGCCCCCACACCCACTATCTGGATGTCGGATACATGGTACTCTAGTAGCTCGACGCTGACAACGACGCCGCCGGCACGCTCTTCACCGGCTCTCTATCCCCCCGCGTCAGCTCTGGGTCTCGGCCTGGGCCGCAGATCGCAGCTGTCGAAGGAGACGACAAGGCTGACCTGCGGCGCCCCGCTGGGAGTCCCACCGGATCTCCTTGCCGCGCAGCTGGAGGTCGGAGGGGACGGAGAAAAGGAGAGGTATCGGGTCCCGTGCTTGCCCACACCGCTGGAATCGTCGGCTCCGGAGCCGGGGTGTTCCGCCCAGCGCACTGGCACGAGGAGCACAGGGTGCGGGGCGCTCGTCCACGCCAGAGCGTCGCCGACATCCGGCAGGACATGGTATGCGCCGGGCGAAGGATCCGGCGCCACAGTTATTCCCCTCGGGGACGAGTACTTCACTGTTGCGCAGAAGAAAATCCTCGGTGGAGGCCCGCGGGTCGACGTGTGTGGGTGTGTGACCAACGGCGTCGGGTGTGCGGTTTGGTGGGTGTCATCTCTCTCTCCATTCCCTTGTCGGGCCTTGCTGACGGAGATGAACAGCGGCAACACACTCGGACTGCTCAAAACTGCATGCAACTCCCACGCGGACTGCTTTTCGGGCTTGCCGCGGGTCCACTACACGCTCCTTTCGGATGCCGTCTCTCCGCCTCTTGCGCGGCGTCGCAAACACACCCCTTCCCATTCACCCTCTCCGCACGTCCTTGACATTGTCGATGCGATCACACGACGTAGCCGCGAGCCCTCGCCACCGCGCATGCAGCGCCAGGCGAGGGGTTTCGGCTTCTCGCGGATGAATCACAGCACGGCATCGGCTGCACACTCCCCGACCATGCCTCCCTTGGAGGTCATTACCGACTCGGATGATGAGAATCGCTACGGTCGGCTACACACCGGGCACGGACTGGCGCCTGGCTTTGGCTACGACACATCTGATTACACATCTACTCATGGACGCGCTCGTACAACCCCGGTCGATCGTGTACTGCATTACAGCCCACCACTATCTGATGCTGCTGAAGCAGCCGGCGGCATCTATGCAGATGCGTCGGCGGATATGCTGGTCTTCCGTCCCGCGGGCAGTGGATACTACCCGCGGATACCCGTAGGCATGTCTTCGTCTTCCTCGTCGGCGTCCGCATGGTCCACGCCCTCTTCAATTGCCACGCCAATATCGATTTCAATCCCGGCATCACCCAGCTCGGTCTCGCGCGCCCATTCGACTCCGCCGGGCACGACCATTCCCAGATCGGAGGAGCTGCCCATGTCAGAGCGGGATCTCAGTGCGGCTGCGTTGCGCTATCGACAGCCGTCGTCACATCCTATGCGCAGTGGGCTCAGTGCGCCGGCTGGTGCCAGCCGGATGGTGCGGTCAGCTGAGCGGTGATCCATCCTGGCCCTTCATCTTTGTGAGGACTGTTAGTCCGCATATAATGCCGATGTTCTAGTTAATACTCAATAATGCGGTATCTATCTAATCATGTACTCACTCGTGTACGTACGTACTTACTAATACTATGGCGGAGAGGACCACGAAGTGTCCCAGATGAATCCCAGACCAAAATTGACCAATTTTTCAATGCAGAGCCAGACTGCTATGATCGATACACAGTAGGCAGCACAGAAGTCGATCGAACTGACTACAGAGCACCATTCCGTAGTGCCGATGCCTTCTCCCTCTCCAGAATGCCCCAGCTTGGGAGACCGCACTGTGCGGGCATATGATCCCAGAACATATCCAGCAGCTCCCCATCCACCTGCTTGATGGCTTGTTAACACGGCGCCGGGAATGATCTCCTGTGCGCACTCATGCACTTGGTGCTCCGCATCTGACTGAGGGGGTGTTTCCGCATGGGGAGCGATCCAGGCACGCGGACTGTTCCCTCATCCTCCGAGTCAAAGTCAGAACAAACAACATCCGAACTCCCCTCTGCTTCAGCCCAATCCAGTCTGCACCCAATCCCTTCGACCCACTAGCCCATCTTTCCGACAGCACACGACTCGCAGCCCCACTCGAACTCGTGGTTGATAGGGAGTCTACGCAGCTTCGAGTTTATCCGCCGGTTGCACATCTGCATCGAGCGGCACGTCATGTGTAGCGCCGGGGACAGGCCCGCCCACTGCTAGCCAGAGCGGGATCGTCGTCGAGCGAGTACGTGGAGACGGCGCAGATGATGGCTGAGAGAAGCCAGCGGGCTTGAACAGCGAGCACAGTGGAGAGCGCGTCTAGATGACCCTGCAGGATCTCCGCACGCTCGCTGGGGTCCGCCGGTCAAGGTAGGGCTGCCATTTCCTCTGGAAGTGGTCCGAGAAGGTGGTGGGCTAGATCTCCTCTAGCTTGACCAAAGCTTGTCGGATGAGGGGCTTCGCTTGGTACTTGTGTGCCAGCCGCAGAACGCCGAGGACCGCGACCAGTTAGAGGTCTTCTGACCTGGTTTGGCCGAACGAGCTGCAGAATGTCTTAGATCGAGATATGCCTAGGCCCTAAGCTAGTTATGAGACGACCCCGACGCACGTATGTCGAAACATCGCACGTAAAAAGCGCTCGGTCTCGTGGGCTGTGTCGTATAAGGGCAGAATCATGATGCCTTCCAGGTACTCTCGCTCCATGTTTCCACTGGACGCATCGTCTTGCAGGTTGGGCAACGACTCCAGCACGTGCGGGAACTATAAAAGTGGCTGGCGCGTCACATGGAGCATTGAAATCTCTGCGTGGATGACGACCAGATCGTGCAAATCGCCTGGGGACCAGAGGTCGTCAGCGTGTTGGAATAGCATGGAAGAGGGGGCCATTGTCGAGGAAGTGGTAACTGATGATCCTGATACATGCGATTCATTCCATCATCCTTCTGGGGACAAAGCAAGGTCGAGGGCCAAAGCGTTGAGGGCCAAGGCACGGAGGGATGGGGAAGACAAAACAGGAACAACGAGTTCCCGGCAATTGACTCTGACGTGTCACGTGCTTGGATTGTAGATCATTCCTTATGTCCTTATCGTGATCGGATCAATGGTTCGGAACGGCATCCCTTTTGGGTTGCACGTTCAACTTCCATCATTAAAATTGAACATGTTTTGCATGTGATTTCCATTTTTAGACATTGAAAGTGCATACATATTGTTTACCAAACAAGTTCTGGGGTAAGTGTTTCTCATCTTTCCATGCTGATGGTGTTGCCATTTACTTCCCCTGGCGTATTTTCCTTGGGTGACCAGACCAAACATTCCCATCAAGTCAATCGCAAACAGGAAAGCACGGCTGACCCGATCCGATTCTGACAGGACCCGCCGCTGTCTAGAAATTGGTCTCCAATCCTCCCAGGTATACAGAATTTGCCATACTGCCAAAGCTTAAGAGGCCTCGAGGGAACTATTCGACGTGTCTTGTATCATGCGCTGCAACTTGTGTTCGGTGGTGGCGGGCATTGCACGGGCATTGTGGCCGATTGATCGGGGTCTAATCAACCATTGGTCATCTGAAATCACGGACGGTCGTGTTCTTGGGCCATGTTTCGGGCCATCACTTGAACGAAGCTACTTGAGTTGCACAT